CATTTCCTCCTCCTCCTCCTTCTCCTCCTTCTCCTCTTCCTCTTCCTTCTTCTCCTCCTCCTCCTCCTCTTCCTCCTCCTCCCGTTACTCCTCCTCCTCCTCCTCATCTTCCCACCTCCTCCCGACTCCCGCCTCGTCCCTCGACCGCCTCCCCCACCGCCTCCTCATTCCTCCGCCCTCCATCTCCGGCCCTCCCGTTCTCCCTGTCCCCCTTCCCCTCCGCATCCTCCTCCGCTTCATCCTCTTCCCGACACCATCATCAGCAGCAGTAGCAACACTCCAATGAACATTTCCACTGTCAGAATGGTCATTACCACCACCAACATCATCATCAGCAGCATCACCATCACCATCGTCATCATCGTCATCGTCAGCATCATCATTGTCATGATCATCACCAGCGTCACCATCATCCTCATTATCAAGATCATCGTCATCATCATCGTCCTCATCGTGACCATCATCACCAACATTGGCATCATCACCACCATCAGCATCATCAGCAGCATCAACATTACCATCATCATCAATGTTATCATAAAACCATCGCCGTCATAATCACCATCATCATCGCTATTGCCATCAACAGCAGCAGCATACAAATCGGCATAAAGGAAACACATCACCAACACCATCACAACCGACACAATCATCACCAGCATCATCATTATTACCACCATCATCAACATGGTCATCTGCAGCAGCATCATCATCAGCACCAACATCGACAGCATCGTCATCATCATCATCATCATCATCATCATCATCATCATCAGCAGCAGCATCTCTTGAATCGCCTTGCCACGTCCGTCCTCGGATTCGTACTGCCTGGCTGGAGCAGCTCTCCAATCACCAATGACCGTCACACCTGCGCTGCGGGGTGCAGAGACAGGAGGATGTCTCGGACCATCGGGCACCGGTTGCGGCTGCACCGCGGTCAGAGCACAAACAACGCGTTGCTTCTCCACATCCTGCAATCCCACTATGCGCAACCAGTCATCGTCGTCAGCAGCAGCATCATCATCAGCATCATAAGTATCATCATCATCACCATCATCATCATCATTACCATGTTCATCATCGTGGTCGTCGTCGCCGTCGTCGTCGTCAGCATCACCATCATCAAAATCATCATCACCCTCATCATCATCAATATCATGATATTCGGCAGCAGTATCATCAGCATCGTCTTCATCGCCATCGCCATCGCCATCATCATCATCATCAGCATCATCACTACTATCATGGTGATCATCGTAATTGCAATCATCCTCATCCTCATCCTCATCCTCTTCCTCCCCCTCCTCCTCCTCTTCCTCCTCCTCCTCATCATCATGATCATCATCATCGCTACCAACATCATCATCATCATCATCATCATCATCATCATCATCATCATCATCATCATCATCATCCTCGTCATCATCATCAGCATCATCATCACCATCATCATCATAAGCATCATCACTACCCCCCCATCATCATCATCGTCATCGTCATCGTCATCATCAACATCATCATCATCATCATCCTCATCATCATCATCATCCTCGTCATCATCATCAGCATCATCATCACCATCATCATCATAAGCATCATCACTACCCCCCCTCATCATCATCTTCATCGTCATCGTCATCATCAACATCATCATCATCATCAACAGCATCATCATCATCATCATCATCAGCATCAGCATCAGCATCATCATCATCAGCAGCATCGTCATCATCAGCAGCATCATCAACGTCGGCATCGTCATCGTCATCCTCGGCCTCAAGCGAGGACTCCCGCCTCCCCGCTCGGTTGGGTGGTAGTGGGTGGTGACGCAACAGGGGGGGTGAAGAGAAGGGCCCCTTTAGAACCCGCTTCTGTACCCCCCTTCAGGTCACCCCCCATCACCGCCAGCCCGAACCACTTGACCTCCACGAGCTTTCCGGCCCGCCGCCTCGCGGTGACGCGCACGAGCAGGCAAGCCAAAAACCGAAAACTGCGGCGGCCGCCGCCGCGCCCAGAGATGGGGAGAGAAGCGGGCGTCGAGGATGGAGAGGCGGGCCTCCATCTGCTGCCGATCCTGCACCTCCGCATGTGTCCATCCGCCTCCTTCTCCTCCTCCTTCTCCTCCTCCTCCTCCTCCTCCTCCTCCTCGTCGCCCTCTCCGCTACACGCAGGAGCGACCCTGGGTAAGAGTGACCTTTGGTGCGCGGCTTTGGGGGGGCCGCGGGTGGCCCAAACAGATCAGCGCCAGACGCTGCTATCGCGCAGCGTCCGGCGGTTGTGGGACTCCAATGTGCCCACACCAAAGGTCACTCCGGCGAAGGGTCACTCTTACTTCTAGTCGATCCTCCTCATCCTCCGTATCCTGCTCACCTCGTCCTGCTGCTCACACCTGCCGTGCTCCTCCGCGTTCTCGTCCCGCTCCTGACTCCCATTCCCGTTCATGATTCATCTCTTCGCCACCATCACCACCACTGTCATCCTCCTCCCTCCTTCGCTGCCTCCTCCTCGGCAGGAGGGGAAACGGGAAAGAGGCCATGGCGGGGGGCAAGGAGGCCGAGGAGGCAGAGCACGCGAGAAAATGTGGAGGTGGAGGTGGAAGCGAAGGAGAAAGACCAGACGCAGGCAAGGATCGGCGGCGAGCCCGGGGGGGGGGGGGAAGTTAGAAGGGGCGGGCCATCTCAGAAGGCTCGGAAGTCCCTCGGCCTTCGGGGAAGTTTTCCAAGCCGCCCCGAGGGCACAGAAAACCCCTCAGAAGGGCCGGAGGCCTTCTGGGAACCCGCGCCGCCTCCTGAGAAGGCCTTCTCCTTCTCACTTCCCCTCCTCGCTCGCCGCCGAAAGGAGCCACGGTCACCAAGGACGCGCGCACCGTTGACCTCAGCCGCCATGTCCACAGGTACCCGCGCAGCCCTACCGGCGCCATATGCCAGATCTGCGCACAAGACTCCCGCCGATACCTGCCCCATCCGACTCGACGAGCGCGCCCAGGCACTCACAGGCCGAGTCCTCGCATCACCAGAAAGTCTTTGGCACGAACTGGCAAGAGCCATCGATGTGCTTCCCGAAGAACTCACTATGTGCCCCATGTGCCGCCGATGTCTGCGGGTGTCAGCTTCGATATGGGCCCCATCCCATTAACACGTCTCGTAGAATGATGTAGCACGCTTCGCGTGTTTTTGTTTGTCGATAATTTGGGCTCCCCACTGTGTTCCAGCACTTTGGATGTGCACCTCGAGGGATAAGCCTGCTCCCTGGGACACCTGCTGGCGGGCCCGTCTATCACCTGATGCGCTTGTTGGACGTCGACGTGACCGCCGCCTCCACCGGCACCGCCATCATATGCCGAAGCCTCGGCGTGGCCCACGACAGGCAGCACTGCGACCAGAGCACACCGAGTGCCTGCCCACCACGCAAGCTACAAGGGGAAACCCGTACCTCTAGGTCGGGCATGTCCTCCTACAGGCGGATTTGGGAAGAAAAATGACAAGTAGCCAAAAACGTACCCCCTAGTAGCCAAAAATAGTCAGAAATCGTTCCCAGACTATATTTTTTACAATTTTTAAACATTCCTCCTGTAGGGGGACAGGCCCGACTTGACCGCAGCTTCCACCAGCAGGTTTCATCCGGCCTGGACTGGGAAGCACTCCTAGACACGCAGGCCCCGCACACTGAGTGGCTGCTCCGGCAATCTGGCAACAGGGGATACGCTGTATGCACGAGGGAGGGATGAGGAGGATGCACGAGGGAGGGATGAGGAGGATGCACGAGGGAGGGCGATCTGCTCCGCGATGCACGAGGGAGGATGAGGAGGAGCCCCGGCGCGACAGGGAGAGAGGAAGCCGGGCCCCCAGACCTCCTCGCGACATGAAAGAATCGCGACGGGAGGTTTTTGGCTATTTTCGGCCTCTGGGGGCCCTTCCCGGGCCTCGGGACCGTCAAAAACGGCTCAGGATGAAGAACCGGTCCCGGGGCAGGGGTCCAGACCTCTTGGGGTCGACGTCGTGGAAAAATCACGACGTCGGAGGTCTGGGCCCTCAGGCAAGTCACCGGCTGCGGCAGGGGAAGCGCCGCCAGGGGGGGGAACCCGCGCCGGCACGGAGCTGCAGGGAGGCACGCCCCTGCACAGGCAGGCCCCCGCGCGAGGGCCCGCGCAGCGGTTGGGCACCCGTGGCAGCACTGCGACGCTCCCCGGGCGCGCCTCGGCGCGCCCCCCTCGGCGGATGCTGCCGCCCGGCCAGGCATCGCGCACTGCCGCCCGAAGCAGATCGAATCGGGATGCGGCATGCTCTCTCTATCGAGGGCGCCGACGCCCGTGCGAGCAACGAGTTCCAGACGCAGCGCCGACGTAGCAGCGCGAGCACGCGCCCGCGGCGCAGCCCAGGACCACCCCATGGGGAGCGCGAGCACCCCCGCGCGCCACCCCGCCCCAGGGGCCTGGGGCCCACCGAGCAACGCGGCCCCACACGCTCAGTCACTCCGCGCAGCCCGCGCCCGCGCCGGCCGCCCGAGCAGGTCGCGGAGCACCCCCTCGGCCTCCGCGCTCTCCCAGTAGAAAGTCAATCGTGGACTGGCCATGGATATCACCGCCGCCCTCATCCGATAAGGAACCCTCCAGGGTCTGAAGCCTCCCGGGCACGTTCCTCGACGAACGCCCCCACCGGACCGCCTGAAGCAGATCGAACAGTCCTGCTACGGAGCCGAAGCGATGACGACGTGACCTGCCAGCCCAGGAGCGACGCCGACCAGGAGCAGTGCGCCCTCAGCCCCGACCGTCCCTGCCAAAAACTGCCCCATCTCGCTGTTCCACTGCTTGATCCTGCACTTCCCTGAGCAGGGCAGCTCGCATGGGCATCGCTTCTGACAGGGCTGGTGGGTTGATGCGAAACTCCAACAATTCTGAAAGACGCGAGGCGGAGAAGAGGAGTAATACGAAGAGCAGCAGCAGAAGGAAGCGGCGGAGAGGGAGAAGGGCGGCTCAACCCAGGGTCGCCGGTCTAGGACGC